TTATGTAAAATAAATTTAAAACGAAGAAAAATACTACAATCCCGTAACAGGACCATTCAATCATATAAAACTCCAATAAGAAACTGCCACCTCACATTTGTTTGACTATATCTAAGAGTTTGTATCAAAACCAATATATCTAATGGTTGTAAACTAATTAAGGGAACCATTCCCGCACGGGACTGTAATCTTCCCCTATTGTGATACATTTCCGTGCATTTAGTAAAAGCCTTTTTATTTTAATCCAAGAGTCGTCATTTTCGGACAATATTCGAAATATGTACATGATATTACGAGTTGTCCGCTAAAGTTTTAACATATTCAACAAGCACCAAAACCATGAAGAGCGTTCAAAGAATCACACTATTTCTCAATAGTTACATTTTCCCGCGCTGAGGTTTAATAACATAACATTTTCATTTTTCCTTTTTAAGAACATATATCACACTGGTATACTCTACTGCCCTTCATACTCCACCTTCTTAAGTCTAATTTACATGATTCAAGAAAAAGTGTTTAAGCTAAACATATCATATGAATACGAATTCGACCATATAACAGTCGATCCCAACTAGATTAGGAAAACTTACTCTGGCTGAATTAGGCTTCTTTCCCATTCATGTACCCGCAAGTTATCGACATCATTAAGTGGGAATAAATGCGAAAACCCAGAATTTTTCAAGAGAATATTAGAAGCCATTATCAGCAGTATTTCAGCTGCATGAATTTCATCCAATGTCTCAGTATCACTGAGTTCCATGGTTAGGTCTCTCCAAGGCTGGTAATATGACCTGTACAACAATGCCGATTTTCATCAATTCAGTAACCAAATATAAAAGTTGATGTAAGTAACCACATAATGATGCAAAACTGATTGAAATAAAAGAGAATAAAAGGAACGAAAAAAAGGAGTAGCGATCTTCAAGAGCTATTTTCTTTTTTTTTTATCCACATTTTGCACCTCAATAAGGGGATATATTTGTAAAGCACGCCATAAAAACAATAACTATGAGGAATTATATGGAATTTTAAAGATAAATGTACTATTTAGGTAACACTTAAACAACTGTAGAATGGACTATTTAATGATAAATAGACAATTCATACTTTCCAGAAATTATGTAAACATTGTAAATAGTTCCCAAAAGCATGACCTTTAACTTGATGATCATCGCATTTAGATTTCATGTGTGAATGAATGTCTTATCGTAAACTTACTGAGTACGTAATTAAGCTAAACTGATTGAATAATAACAAATAAGCTTTAGGCTTTTAGGTGGATATTTTAATGATGTTATGTATGACTTGTTCATCCCTACAGTCATAACATGTTAAAGGTGTATATCTCCTACCGATCAAAAAAAAAAAGGGTGTATATATCCTAAAAAACGAAAATGAATAGCTTTGTCTTACCATCTCCACGCAGGATTTGCTTCAACGGGATACCGTATTTTTGAACAAAGCAAGGGCAAAGCATACTTGGGATCGACCAATGATTCCAACTCTGAATAATTGAGAGAACTCATTTAGTGATTTTGCGAAATTATATGAACGAAGATAAGAAAACTGAAATCAACAACAGAACACACTTGATGTCTTGCCATATCATTTTTCTCGAGCACCCCATAATCATGATAACAAGTTCCCCCGAAAATTTCAAAACAAAACTATATTTCCGGAGTTTCCATCTAATACAGTTTGTATTCTCCAAAACAACTCCTATTATAGCTTACAAAGATTTCAAATTCATTGTACGATGACTATTATGAAATTCAAAACAATTTTTTTGGGTCCAGAAAAACCATCAACTGTCAAGTTCTCTACAACAAAATCTTATTGGAATTATAACAGTTACTAAGAGTGGTACGCCTTTCAGAGACACGGCCCAGTCATAAAATCCATAAAAGTAGCTCACCTCATTAGATTGTGGATATTGGAATAATAATACAATAACAGGAATAATTGATGAAAACGGATACTAAGGTGAAAAAGTGAACCTGAGCCCGGAAAAAGTAGGAAACAGAGTGCAGAAACAGCTGATGGGAGCAAATTATGGCTAAAGCCTTCCAGCTGTAGCAAGTAAAATATTGAGGCAGCTAATATAACTCCACACCCGCATGTTATATCTTTTCCAAATCTTTTTTCATCAAATTCCAACGAAGATTGCAAAGTCTTGAGGCTCGGCTTTCCCAATAAACTGTAATCGTCGAGTTTCCTTAACTTACAAGATACGGTTGCAAGGATCACCGAGGCAATCAGCCAATGCAAAAGCTTACGTACAAGGGATTCTTTAGGTTGAGTCGCTTTTCCTGACTTTGACTGGATTGCAGTTGTAACTGCCCAACTCAAAAACCTTGAGAGCTTTTCTTTATCCTGCAAAGTCAGAAATATCTAAGTAGAGAAAACTTCAGGAAAATGTACTGAGCCTAAAATTGTGTCTCTATAACAAGGTGGTTAAAACCTTTTATGGGGATAAAGTTTGACTCAATACAAAATAAAGGACATGCCGACATGAAGCAAAAATACAACAAAGCTGGAATACCCTAAAAAGGCCCATGGTGATGTACGGAACTTTCCATATTCTGTTCTCTAATTTCTCATGGGAAAAGTGAAAAGAGAGAAGATACTGGTTTTCATGTGAAAATATGGAAATAGTATGGTGAGTCATCTGAATTTCCATTTTTGACATTGGTTTCTGTTAATTGTAGTATGTTTCCATGCAAACTTGTGTGGTAGTAATTCAATTTCATTTGATAAACTTTCTTAGTTTGAAGTTTCAATTAAAAAGTTGAGAACTTTAAATGTTTCAATAACAAAACTTTAATTGCGAAATGTTAAATGAGAACAATTCTATCATTAGCTGTATCCATTTAGTTGTCATATTTCTCCTGCTCAAAGAGGAGCTTACAACAGAAATTATAAGCAAATGTGCAAAAACACATAAGAATTGTGAAATACCATCTGGAAAATAGTGACAAGAGGAGCACTCATGAGAACAACTTTCAGTCCCAAAACATTACTTGAAGAGCGCTTTGTTGTGGGGCACACTGCAACAGCCTCATATAGCTTATATAATCCCTCTTCCGACAGTGTAAAATGTGGTTGATATATTTTCCTCTTCTGTGATATCTTCATCACCAGCTTTAGTGTTTTCAGAATCAAGGTGAGTAAATTGTTTTGTTCCCTAATTTGTTCAACACCACTGACTAGGAGCTTATACAAATGAGATGATAGTTCAGAAAGCTGCTCCATAGCATGCTTTTGCAACCACTCAACAATATTTCTGGGAGATGTAATCTCATGTACAACCTAATTTGGAAAATGATATGAAAAAAAGGTCAGCTGTCAACTGTAAGATAAATAATGCAACACCTGCGTGCGTGTATTCTTTCACCAAGAGGAAAGAAAGGATGAGGTAAAGTCAGCAAAATGAGAAAAATCTAGGAACAGAGAAGCACGTGTAGTGTGGTCAAGCTCTTTCAGACAATGAAACTTTTATATCCAAAGAGATCTCCCTTCCTAATTAATTTAAGAATGACTCGTCCTTCAAAGTATGTAACCATTTATAAGTATATTTGCAATGCATGAACAAAAAATCTTCCCATGACATCTACAATGAGCTTAAAAATTATACTATCCAATAATTATCTTGACATAGTAAAAAATTCCAATGTTCACAATAAAGAGAGGACATTGATGATAACCAAAAAATTCGCAGGATAATAGATAAACACTAGAAGACACTCATATCCGAAAATGAAGACAGGATGCACTTTTCTCTGAATCCCACTATATCAATTACACTCTCTCCACACATCTACCATTACAAAGACCGAAAACATATATTCTCGAAATATGTTTCCACAAAATAGGTTTCTACCAAAATAACTCAAAAAAAAAAGGAAAAAATATCAGAAAGAGCCAACTGACTTTTGTGAATTTCCTTCACTTTTACTTCAACATGTGGAAAAAAGGATGATCAATTCAACTCTTCTCATGGAAATGGTTGGGATTATTATCTAATTCACAATTCAAGGTATAACCTTTTCATCACCCACAAAAGACGTAAACATGATTCAATCTTAACAAATCAACCATTTTGTCTACACGTTGTCAGTGAAAGTTGTACTGTGAAAGTTAGAACATTATCTTATTTATATAAACAGCTTAAAAAACAAGTGAAATATTACCTCCAATACAATAGGCAATTGTCCGATGGTCCATTAAAGTCATCACATGGAAATGATTGGGATTATTATCTAGTTCACAATTCAGGGTATCACCATTCACCCTCAAAAAAAGTGAAAATGATTCAATCTTAACAAATCAACCATTTTGACTACACGTTATCAGTGAAAGTTGTACTGTGAAAGTTAGAACATTATTTTATTGATACTTACAGCATAAAAAATTAAGAAAAAAGTGAATTATTACCTCCAATACAATAGGCAATTGTCTGATGGTAAATTTCATCTGGTCTTCGCATTCACTCCCACATAGAGATGTTACAATAGACGACAACCATAAAATGAGACCACAATGTTGAACCAAAAACCACATTGTTTTATGTAATTGAACAGCTTTTTTTACCATCTGCACAAGATGTTAATTACAGCATAAGAACTCCAAAATATTCTACAAATATCAGAGCATGTGCATGAGAATATGAAAAGGTACGTCAAAGTCACAATAATTTTTACACAAAAAAAAAAATTCAGGCGTGCGTGAAGTCAAGTGATCTAAACTTGCAGAAACTTGAAGATTTACTCGTCTAATATATTCAGTGATCACTGCTTAGGTTCATAAGCAATGAGATATTCCATGATTTAGATATATCATTCCACTGTACTAGATCAAATGCAATAAGTCACTTCAAGAAAGTTTATAGCCTAAGCAATGATCTAAGTACATACATAAGCTAGCATCCGAAACAGTTCGCTGTAATATAAAAAACTAGAATCATATATATTGGCACAGTTCCAAGAATGCATATGTTACAGTATCTTAATGGGGAAAGGCATAGTTAAAATGAAGCGTAGAGGCTGAAACATGTATTATATTCAATGAAAACATATGAACACAATCTGAGATATATAGATATATTTTAACACCCATGCAAAGAGAGACAGATCCATGTGTCAACATGACCAAGCATACCTGAATAATAAGTTCCCTTGAATCATTATCTGAAAGTGGTGATGAATAAAAACTCATGAGGGTCTCGAAAATGGAGTTTCTGATGTATATATGGGCATCATCTTCTGTATTCAGCCCCACATACAACAACCGGAGCATCCACAACCTATCTTCTCTAAAACTAGGGGAGCTACTCCAGAAAAGATTCTGGAATAAAGGTATAGCCTGTCAATGACAAAACAGCATTAAAACATTAAAGCATATTTTTCGAGAAGAAAATTAATATTGAGAATGTATTATTGAATTCAATAAGCATACCTTCATGTTCACACGAGGAGAATTACTGAGATACTTGCTTATGGTTGAATAGTTATCATGTGAATAATCCAGCAATACTAAAGACGCCTCTGCAAAGAATACGGCAATGATGGATGGAATCCTTTGCCATGGTACCTCTATTCCATTTTGCAGACATGATAATAGGAGACGCAATCGCACGACATCTTTCTTCTGGCTTTTCTGTTATAATGAGGATGTGGTTATATGTATTTTAACTTGTTCAAGGTTCCCCCACATACTACAAAACAATTTCAAGATAGTACTACTGCATGAGGAAAACAAAAGAGAAGGATTATTTGCATTTCGAAACGCCCATTTATCTTTCACAAGCCAAGTTACAATCCATTCACCCACAAAGTCAAAATTATATGTCGGCGTACAATAAAGAGGCAGATTCCTAAAATAGGAATTGA